GTTCAATACGACTGATTTCAAAAGTTTTGATACAACTCTGACACAAATATCTTCAGTTATTTCTATCCAGGGAAACTTACTCGAGGTTACTATAAGGCATATTGACAGCTGAGAGGTTACTCTTTAGCTTGTCTTTATAACCGAGCCACGGCCGTCCAACATTCCTTTGTCCACTGTCAGGCTGGCTATACATGCTTAGTATTATTTATATAATGATTTACTAAGGGTAGTTTAGATGTGGCGCAACGCCGAAAGTATGAGACACCCAATAAGGATCGAACTCAGTACTCAGTAGGAATTGGCCTAAAGAGATAAGCTTTCTAACCATTACAATACATCGATGTGCCCTCAGTATTATTTATATCCTAGCTTAAAAACTGGGCTCCGTGCGGAATTTTAAGTTAACTCCAGGGGGGGGGGCTAATTGAGCCTCCAGCATAAAATTAAAGGGACCTCTGATCCAGCTTAGAAAACAGCAATGATAATTTTGAATAAATATCTTTGAATTCTTCATGTTCACTCCGTGGTACTTCAAAATCTCACTTTAACTCTGATTGATCACTATTGTTAAGTAACGACGAATTAAGATGTTATCCCCATTGGGCACCTCACGCTTGTCTTTAATATCAGCCGATGTGTAGGATTGTAAATATCTATCTCTGTAATCTATTGAAATTTAATGATTAGTACTGTTAAGTAATCATTAATTAATATTTTATCCTCATTGGGCACCTCACGCTTGTATCTAATGCCAGACAATACTAAGGTTTGTAAATATCTATTTCGGTAATCTATTGAAATGTAATGATAAGTACACTATTTACATTATTCGGACTATTGTCCTCATCTTTGTTGCCATATTTATTACAACGTTTCGGCCTTTCAGTATCTGTCTATATTTCTGAGATGAGGTATTATGTACACTATTTACATTATTCGGAGTATTGTCCTCATCTTTATCATCATATTTATTACAACGTTTTGGCCCTTCAGTATCTGTCCATATTTCTGAGATGAGGTATTATGTACACTATTTACATTATTAGGACTATTGTCCTCTTCTTTGTCGCCATATTTATTACAACGTTTCGGACGTTGTACGCTCCGGCCTTCTTCAGGTGGTTGGAATGTCGAACTGAACCCTTTATTTCGCTCAATGGGGTAGACTGTTCTAGTTCCACGTGCCATGTCTAATGGATGCCAGTTATCAGTTATCTCCTGTTAATTCCGCTATCTAACTTTTCCACTGTCCATTCTAACTCTTAATAATTTTTTTCTTTTTCATCTCTCATCCATTTGCTCATATTTACTAAGTAGATTATACGTTGTTTTCCTTTGTTTCTTTTGCCTTCATTTTGTCCTGTGAGTTTCAGATTTTAAAATTAAGTCCAATTCCAACCAAAAGAGTAATTTGCGCCAAAATCCGATTTGGGACGAAATTCCATTTCAGACAAAAAATCGAGTTCTTCAAATCACAAACTCCGTGGAACTTCAGTTGAGTTCTTCAAATTAGAAACTCTGCGGAACTTCAAAATCTCACGTCACGAAACCTCTGACTTTAATCATGATTCCTTCTCATTTTGAAGAAATAAAATTGATTTCCTCAATTCGCAAAATTCAAAGTTTGGAGAATATTTTAAACTGAATTTAAAACAAAAAAATTTAAATTCACAAAGTTTTTGTGTTACTTTAAACTTAACATGAATTAAAAACTTAAAATCAATAACTTTTTTCAGTTATTTTAAAATTTGAATTTTTAATTGTTCCCTCCTCATCCGGACAAAAATCCCAATGCTGGATGGTCAAACACCAGATTATCAATCCCAGGATGATCCTGATTCCAAAAAGGTATAATATATCTATGTTGAGCAAGCGTGGCTCGAGTTAGAATGGTTTCAGACAGACAGACAGAATTTGCCATTTATTTATTTAGATATATACTCATATTTTGAATATATAATATTTTCATGTTTAATTTATTTCTGAAGTTCATCTCTTTGCATTATTTTTGTCCTTTCTTCCATCTTGTTAATGTTTTAACGTATCCCAGATACATTAATGCCTATATTGAACATTGGAGAATAGAAAACATTTTCTCCCTTTTTTTCCTGACAGCCTTGTTACATGTTTATTCATACCATTTCTACGAAGGTCGGTCAAAAAGTAATGCCTGTTCGTTTTTAACTGCAACAGAAACAAACAAAGCATTCTAAAATAATATCAAAAAGTAATGCGTGTTCTTCTTTAATTACAACAGATTTAATAATAGAAACACCCAAAGTATAGCAATTATAGTATTATGCATTGAACATTGCAGCCACTCTCCTACTTGCTATATATTTAGAGATTCTTGACAAAATCTAAAGAAGAATCTGCAATGTTATTGGCGCTGGCCAAGCATTTCGGCTTCAGTCTCTTTCTCAGCACCGTATCGTATCTTCCCTGTGCCTTTTCTATAACTAATTTCATAGAATTTATTCTGATGAACGTTCCTGTACGGTACCTAGACTTTATGAATTTAAGCGCAGTACTAGATTGATGGCATGGTCTCACCATTTTACAGTTGAAATGGCTCGGTGTAACCGTAAGTTCTATGCTAACATTTTCTTCTCCCGCATTTCTCGCTTGTGAAACTCTCTTCCATGCTCTTCTTTACAGTCAACATTGATCTTCAAAAATTTAAATGCAATGTCAATCGTTATCTTCTGTCTTCTTAATTCCAGTTCTTTTATTGTTCTCTCTCCTTAATTGTGTTTTTATATTTTTTCTTATATTCCCTAACACTGAGTAATCTCTTGCGTGTTAGTGGTTTTATTGCCTTGTTTGGGGTGAAATGATTAAAAAAATGCAACGATTTAACATTAGTTCGCAACATTGTCTCTTTCCTTCTCAATTGTGGTATTCTACCTTTTAACGAGAG